CATTCATTCATTCATTCATTCAACAAATGCTTACCTAGGGCCTTGAATGTGCCAGGCACTGTCCCAGGTGCTGGGATGCAGCAGTGGCTGGTCTGGGCTCTGTCTAGCCTGCCTGACCTCCCTGACTCTTCAGGCCCCTCTGGAGTAATTGCTTCTGACCAGTGTTTTTCTCCCTCTGGCTTGATCCTCGCAGGGACCTGAGTGAGAACACCATCCAGGCCATCCCCAGAAAGGCTTTTCGTGGAGCTACAGACCTCAAAAATTTGTGAGTACAGGCCTGGGCTCCGAGGTGGCTGGTGCCAGCATGGTCTCCCGGAACAACCTGGAGTCAGAGGAAACACGCAGCCTTTGGGGGGCTGGGTTGCAGGGTGTCTCATGAACTGTGAGGTGCTGGAAGGATGTTCTTGGTCCATTTGAATGGACAGCCCCCGTGCCCTTGCCCTCGAGTGGATTGGGAGAGCTGGGTATAATCTTGTCTTCCAGACACAAGCTGCTGCAAATCAGTTAACTCCCCCCGAGCCTCAATATATTGTTCTATAAAATGAAGGCATCACATTTACCTCACAGGCTTGTTCTGAGGTTTAAATGAGATGTGGAAAGAAATACACGCTGTCAAATGCTATTTAAATGTCATGGCGTATTCCTATTTTTCAAACTTACTCTGGTCCAGGCTTACTACCTCCTGAGGTCTGACCGCAGCAGGGACGGCAAATGCCTGCCATGCCTGTCACTCCCCGGCCCCCTAGGCCTGTAGTAGACATGGATAATGGGTCACTGCATTCCTCCCAAGCTGCCCAAACCACAGCTTCTGTATATGCTGAGAGCAGCACTCCAGGTAGCCACCGCTAGTCAGCCTCACTTGGCACTCAAGCTGAAATCTGCCTGCCAGCTCTGGCCGCCACCGCATCTGCGATAGACTCATTCTAAAGCTGCCAACACCCTCTAGGTGGTCTCCAAAATGAGGGCAGAGGTGCCCGTTCCCCAGGAAATATGCAAGGTTAGGCAGAAGAATATACATTTTATGTATAGTTATTGTTTTAACTAAAAATAAGAAATAATCTAAGCTCTTATTATTTGCTATTTGGATGGAGATATTTGTGCCGAACAAATGACTCGTGTCAGGCCTCTTTTTAAAAAAACAAATGGATTTCTTGATAAAGACGTTTGGACACTTCTGCTCTTGGTAACGTGCTCTCCTCTCTACAACCTTCCTTTGCTTCACAGACAGCTGGACAAGAACCAGATCAGCTGCATCGAGGAAGGGGCCTTCCGGGCTCTGCGGGGGCTGGAGGTGCTGTAAGTGTATGTGGGAAGGGAAGCAGAGGTGTGGAGAGTGGCCAATGCAGGTGCTGGGGCCCCGGCAGCTGGAGATGAGGCTTGCGAGCAGCACAGGAGGCGGGAGACCTGGGCGGCGGTGCCAGGCCCAGGACAGGGGCCATGCTCTCTGCTCTGCTAGACTCCCTCCTGAGGATGGGAGGACACATGCCCATAGAGTCATGCCTGCAACAGCGTGGCCCAGGCTTACCCCGCTTATGAGGGCACCCAGGGCGGTGGCTGTATCTTCCAGGAGTTTCTGACACACGAGGCAGGATTGCGTTTCCCTTCTCCCTCTGGCTGTCTAACCCCCACTGTTTCTTCCATGCCAGCTTGAGTCTGCACACCTCCTCTCCCTCCCCTTGCCCCTTCTCCCCTGTTCTACCAGACTCGGAGTCTCTGGTACGGCTGCCTCGTAGTCCCTGTCCCAGCTCAGGGCTTTCCCTGAGGGTGGCTTTGTCTCATGCTCTTCAGTGTAGCCCTCCTCCAGGTCCAGCCCAGTGCTGGTCCAGCTTGAGGGTGGACCATGGAACACGGCGTGAGAGTCTGCCTGTTGGTCAGAGACAAGCCCTGCTGGGCAGATGCTAACTGATTCTGGTTTCCTCATCAGGACCCTGAACAACAACAACATCACCACCATCCCTGTGTCCAGCTTCAACCACATGCCCAAGCTGCGGACCTTGTGAGTCAGCCCCGGGGGGCTGGGAGCACAGCACCAAGTGTGGCCTGTGCCAAGGCAGTGGGGAAAGGGGACAAGGACTCTTGCAGGCAGAGAGGGAGCTCCTTCTCTGCACCTCCAGTGGCCAGCCAGGGTGGGTGGATTGGGGCTGGAGTCAGGGGAGGTGATCTAAAATGGGAGGATGTTGGGTGTCATTTATAGCTGACTTTTCCTTGGAAAACAAATGATTTCTTTTNGAGCAGAGGAGAGGGTCAGGCGGGCATGCAAAGATTGGCAAGGGAACTGGCCCCTTGAGAGTGCAGTCAGATTCTAGGAGAAAGAGGCAAAGGCCACTCCCAAGGTCCTTCCTTTGTAGTGACAACAGCAGGGGGCAAAGTCCAAGACCAAAGGAAAGTAGGCCTGTGGCAGGTGAGACCAAGTCCCCCTTCACCCACCAGCTTCCCTTTGTCACTACATCCTGGTCTCTTCTGCACCCTCCCCCTTCTCCCTATCCAAACTTGACTTCTGGAGATGATGGAACAAACTCATTCACATGAGAATCAATCACTATAAGCTGTCAGTTTGCTTCTCCTGGGAACACCTCAGCTTTATGAGTGGACAAAGCCCTGGTCCCTGCATTGGGATAGGAGCTCGAGGTTGCACAGTTCAGGTCCTTATCGCTAAATGCCTCTCAAGCACCAGCGTTCAAGGTCACCTGGAGACAGGTGCGCACACCTGCAACTCACCCACACCAGTTAGATCTGAGGCACCTGAAAGTCATCCCATGGGCTCGGGAGAGCAGGGCAGTGAGGGGTAGATGCAAAATTAATTTCCCTCCTAGGTGGGAGAGGTAGGATTTGAGGGGAGGCTTGATGGACAGGCATAGATAGACAAGGAAGGGAGGGTCTCACCAGATCCCAGGAGCACCTCAGAGGGTATGCACCCTAGCATTGCATCCAGGGGGCACTGCCAACCTTTTCCTTGAAAGTGCATTCTAAAGCGGGGAACTGGGATGCAGGGTAGTCCTGGAGTCTCCCAGTCCCTGGCTTGGAGCCGTGACTCCTGACCTCCTCAGAGGAGCTAATTAGCACAGCCTGGCTCTTACCAACACCGGTGCAGGCCGTGTCCCACTGCCCTCAGCCCGGCAGGGGTGTAGGGAGCTTGCTGGAGCCAATGTAGTGGCCGCCATTGCTCCCCCCTCCTGGGGGAGCGCACTTCTGTTTTCTGTGATGTTGGGCAGTGGCCATACCACAGGTGACAGGTCCGAGGCTGCTTTCCCCTTTCTCTACCCACGAGGGGTCTGTTCCATATCTCCCCACCCTACCCCTCAAAGAATAGGAGCCGGGGCCTCTGCTCCTTGCTTTGAAATGCTGGCCAAGTACGGGGGCTACAACCCAGTTTGCTTTATCCTAGCTGAGATCATGAAAACATTTGTACACGTCCCTTTGTTGGATACAGCACTTCTCAGCCCTTAACATGCATATGAATCA